TCTTGCTCATTCAGAATTGTTCATTCAACAGGAAAGTAAACAGCTCTTTGAGCTATGCTTCTCTCCCCCACTTCCTTGGCAAGAGAGACCTGTAGGAGAAGAAGATAAATAATGTGTCTAACATGGTCTGGAGGGGATTCAGCTGAGCAATTTCTGGCTTGCCCTGCCTGTCCTCCAGCTATTGTGCCCTAGTAACTTCAATGGCTGTACACAAGCTTGGCCTGGCTGCAGTTTCATTCAGTTGGATCTATGCTTTCAAATATTTTTCTGATGTAATAAGCTCTGTCTGGCCAGGGCCTCAATCCTCTCCCTGTGTGGACTGGGAAAAATGTATAGTAACTAACTATGAACAGACACTCAATACCTGTAAGTAAAAGTTTTCAGTCAGGCACTGGGTCAGCAAACTACTTCTGTGGGTACTGGAGTCCTGTGTGTCAGGTTCATACGTACCTCATCCCATGACTTGGGTTCCTCAGTTAGGGAGATGTTGTGCTCTTACAGCATTAATCAAAACTTTGTGATGACTACCAGACCTCCTCCACAAAGCTACTCTGAAAAAGCCTTTATGAAAAAAGATGCCATTCAAACAAAGTTGAAATGTGTCTGCTTTCAACAGAAATTTCCTGTAAATTGTAAATTGTAAATTGTAAAAAAGAAGTATATAAGCAAATTACAACTGTCTTCATTCTAAAATTCTGATGTGATGTCTCACACCAAACTTGGTGTTCTCTAGCTCACCGTGGGCTGGGATCATGCTTGTAACACCAGCAGAGACATGTACCCACAGCAGGATCAGCAAGAAAGATGGCAGCAGAACACCATAAGACCTGGAATATAGCCATGGTGCCAAAGCGACAGAGAAGAAGGGAGTGGGAGATACTCAAACCACAAATGCCAAAGAGGTATTTTAGAATGCAAATATTAAAGGGTTGGGTTTTTTTTCTGAAAACTTGGTACTTCTCTGGAAAAGATAAAGGGGAAGGTTCTTAGAAGCTTCTATGGGAAAAAGATTAATTCCAATCATCTTTAATGGTTTTATATATATATATATATAAATGATGAGTATGTTCTGTTCACCTAATTACAGTTTAGAAAATGGATTACATGTTCTGATCAGCTGCTTTGCTATGTACACCTCAAGCACAAAATACTACAGATCATCTGCATTTTCCAAACTCCTAGGATTCTCTAGTAATAGGCATTCTGAGTGTGTGGTGGAAGGTATGGAACTTTAGCTGGAGCTCTGAGTAAATCTGGTGATCTGTGATTTTCCAAAGCTGTTTACTCATTCATATTAACCTGTATTGGGTGACTGGCCCTGTCATTTAACACAAGAAATCTCCTCCCCATAAAACCAGTGACTAAAGATTTGAGGTCACTTTTAAGAGTGACACAAGAGATGTGGCTTCTCCATAAACGCCACAATAACAATAAATAATGCTCGATGTGTAAATTTGTAGGACCTCCTACAAATTTAGGACCTCCTGTAGTTATCATCCTCCTCTTAGCTATTCAGTGAATGTCATCAGTTATAATATTCCACTCTCAGTATAAGCAGGTAAAACCATTCATATCAGCTGAAGATCGTACATGCAGGGAAAGCAAAATATCAGAACCGACATTAGCTGCTAGCAGAGATGTTGCCAAAACTTAGAAATGTCCGTCTCAGTGAGGGAGCTAAGCAGGACAGTTACAGCAGATTGTGTCATGAATGACAATCAAACATTTAAAAGGAAGACAAGGTAGCTTTTGGGGGTTGGTTCTTTGGTTTTTTTTTTTAAGATGTAAAGTAGAATCTGTTTCTCTTCAGCTGACAGCTGTGAGAGAGAAAGGTTTTTTTTTTAAACTCATGTTGATTAAATTAAAAGCTTAATTTTTGGGGAAGCATTTGATATGAAACCACTTGCATTTGGAGAATTTCCCATTTCATAAGGACAAAGCACAATCCTTTCCACAACTGTTTTATGGATTGATTACAGTACATCAAAAAAGGCAACTAGATTGATTCATAGCTGTTGGCATGCTTGTGCTTACAAGCCACATACTGCATTTGCTGTTAATGTGATTTATAATAATATGTTGATAGTATTAAGTGATGCAAGAAGCTTTGCAACACAGGGACCTGACTCAAACAGTTTATAGAATAGCCAGGCACTGATTGAAGAGTGAATGTGGTACACTGTGATGTGCTGTGGTTGACTAGGGCAGTTTTCGATGTGTTTCCCTTAAACGGTAATTTCTGGGATTTCTTTTTTAATGGATATTTTTCAATCCTATGATCTGCTTGCACTGCTCTGGAGGCAGGCTCAGTGCCTTTGGGAAATTGCTGCTTCAGAGTTGTGGTTTACAAAGCTAAAGATTTAAGAGCAGACAAGGAGACAAGGTTGAAAGCTTGGAGGCAAATGCATAAGAAGTTACAGCTGAGGTGGAAGAAGGTGGCACTGCTGGTAAACTTTGCAGATTAAATAAACATTTCTGGCATGATAAGTGATGCTAATAAGGACAGAGCATTCCTACGGCAAGATCTAGATTGTGTGGTAAGCTGGATTCTTTTAGAAAGCTGTTGTATGCATACAGCCGCTGGGAAGGTCATGTATACACAAGCCAAGAATGCAGGTTGTATTTTCAGTTTCAGACTGAGAACTGGGAAGTAAAAATTTTGGAAAGGATGCAGGGGCTATTTTGGGCAAACAAATGAATGTGAATTTCCAGTGTGAAACTGGTGCTACAGAGGCTGATGCAATCCTTGGGCAAACAAATAAAGGGATTTAGTAGGGCTGGGGAGAGAATGATGTCACTTCTTGATATGGGATTGCTGAGTGATCTGCTGAATTCTGTGTCCAGTGCTCATGCTCAGACATGCGGAAAGGATGGAGAAAACTGGAAAAGCAGGACAAAAAACCTGAAAGCATGATTCCTGGCCCTGGAAATTCTCCCTTGCAATGAGAGACTTAAAAAGCTCTTACAGGTCTTTTCTAGGTTATCCAAAAGAAGGTTAAGAAGTAATTTGACTGAGATGTATAACCATCAATATCACAAGAAAATTTCTGATGCTAATCTTCCATCTGGGAAAGAAACTGCAGCAGAAAGGAAGACATATAGACAAGGTTCCAGGAAAAATAGATTATCTTATACCAGCTGCTATGCAGAAGCAGTTTGTGCCTTCTCTGCAAGTGCGTGTTTACCCCTCTTACTCGGGGAGACAGGCTCCCCTAATAAATCATCTCTCCATTATTGTAGTTTGCTGTAGGTAAGAGCATGAATAGGGGTGATTATCACAGGGAAGCTGACCCACAGTAATTTTTTTCCCTTGAGGTGAACTGTTCAAATGTTAAAGTCCATGAGAAGTCCAAGGGCTGTCAGCTGAGGCTAGCCGCATTTGGATGAAAGATATGATGCATTTACTTTTAACGGGGAGGGTTAAATCTTTAGGTCAAACTATCTTGGGATGTAGTGAGTTCCCCATTAGTTGCAGTCTTTTAATCAAGACTAGGCGTCTTTGTAAAAGTCATACAAATCGTTCAAAAGAAAGTTATAGGTTCAACACAGAAATTCCTGGATGAAATTCTGTGGCCTGTTAAGCTAAATGGTCATAATAAACCTTGCGTAGCCTTTCACTCTATTAATCTGTGAAAAAATGAGCAGTGAACTAAGCAGTAACCAGGAGCTATGCAATTCAAATTGTGGATAGCAAGGACAAGGAGATTAAATTCAGCGGCAAAAGTAAAAGGAAGTTACAGAGGAACATACCAGTGAAATGAGCAGAGAGCTGGGCTTGGCTGCAGTAATTTAGGGTGCACTGGAAGCACTCAAGGGGCAATGTGGAAGGTTTGAACAGAATAGGAGCAAGAAAGGGAGGTATAGCTGATGCAAGTGTCAGGGACTGTGCAATGTAGAGATAGGCAGCTCTTGAAAGAGGTAAATACACCCGCAGCAGAGGAAACGTCACTGCCGATTTAGGGGGTTAGAGTGGGAAATGATTTGCCAGCTCTGACAGAGGATGAAGGAAAGAGTGATTTGGGCAGAAAGGTGAGACAGCCTTGGGGGGGGGGGGGGGGGGGGGTGCAGAGACAGAAAGTCTGGACACTGCAGAGGAGAAATGAGACAGACAGGATGAAGATACTTCCTTTGGAGAGATACAGAAGTCAGCAGAGCATGTGCCTTCATTCATATAGCACGTGAGTGACTCTCATATCAGGATTACCTGATGGCGTTACACCCATGCTACAGAGGGAAAAACTGGGCCACTTATAGGATATAAAAGAAGTGTCTTCAATTTTAACCACTCCATGACCAAAAATAAATTGTACAGTCATTCTATTCCAGAATACCAGATTGATGGCTGAATAGTTAGAACTCAGCAAGTTAGGTAATTTTGCACTGAATATAAATGAGAGTTGTAAGATAAATGACATTTAGTGACATTAATTAACTGATTAAATTAAACCTGATCTTTTAATCAGAATTTGTTTATGCAAAGCTCTGGATAAAAAGAAATTGAGTTTAACCTAGTTACTTTTAAAATTTCAGTTACCATAACAACTTCTTGTGAGATCAATTAAAGGTGGTCTTTTCTTTACATTATTTTTAGAGTTTGAGTTACCATAACAACAGAACGCTGATTCATTTGCAAAAAGTTAAAATATGTTGTTGTTCTGTGAGAAACAATCAAAATACAAGTGGTATGCCAGGAATTAATACCCCAGCATGGCTGCACAAACAGCATTTTTCAAACACCTCACTTGTGGCACGAGAGACTGATGGATCTTCTCCAGTGTGACAGGCTCAAGATGTTCCTTGGTTGCTCAAATCAGAAAGAGATTATTTATCAATGGGAGAAGAGTGGGGCTGTCAGGCGCCAGAGGTATTATGAGCTGTCAGATCTGCAAGGAAAAATGATGCAATAGCAGATAAATTCACCTGGCCCTCAAGTGCTTCCAGAGAGCAGGCAGAAGAGTGTCTCTCAGAGCCAAGGCAGTGACCCCAAGTCTTCTCCCCAGATATCCCTGGTAGTAAGAAAAAACTGCTGACAGATCATCTCAAGGACTTGCTCTCGACTGTGCCAAGCCCCATTGGAGGTCAGTGTTAGCATCTTTCTGTTCTACCTATGGCTGCTCATCTCCCATGATGGGTTTTCCCATGTGCAAGAGCAACACCTGCTGAAAGAGAGTGGCTTTGATATGAGCTGCCTACAGAGAGGACTGGATTAAGTTTAGTCTCTTGGCTCAGCTCCATGCAAGAACCTCCATGAGGCAAAAATGTGGGTAGGATTACAAGCCAGATGTGTCACAGTGGCCAAGATGCATAAAAGGCACCACAAACATGCACACACGTTTGTGTATATTCACCACAAAATTAGCTAAAGTCTAACACTTGTATCACTGTGGTCCAGGCCTGATTTTAACATAACTACTGCTCTGACTTACCTCCAAAGGGGAAGTAAATGATAGCTTTTGGGGTGTACTCTCTGCAGGTTCTGTACAGGTGGAGCTTTCCTCTTTTTGCAGAGGTGGGTATTATGGATCCCATTTACTTGAGTAGAGCAAGGTGTGGCCTTTAGACAGTTACAGGCCCTTGAACATGCAAGGAAAATGCCCTGAAGAAAACAGCAGCCCATGAAGTACTAGAATAAGATGCTTCTTGCAGCCAGGATCTGACCTACAATCCAGATCTAGTCTAGAAAAGATAAGTGAGGTGAGCATCAAATTCTGTACTTGCTGCACTGCTGGGCATTGCTATTTGTCAGAGGACACTGCAGTACAAATTAGTCCCTCTTACTTATCTGTGGCTTCTAGTGGATCTGTGGGATCAGAGATACTTTAGGCTGTTATCAAACTTGAGAAGAAAGTGGGAAGTCTGAAAGCACAAATTACTTTCACTACTCCATGTGTGCTCACTTTTCCACACACACACTTGCACATTAACTGCAGAGGATAAGGAAACTCATACTGGATTTCTGTTGTTGCCTTTTGAGACAAAGGCAGCCATAGCCTTGCATTGTTCTGCGGTGACCTTTTGTCCAGTCAAAGATGTGCAGATGACAGCCTACAAGTAGGAGAGGTAACCCTGCATTCCTGGTTTGATTGTGGCTCTCTTCCTTAATGAATTTTTAAGAGGAAGAGGAGGAGGAGTGCACACAGGGGAATTTGCATGTGTCTGAGGCTTATTTAATGAAAAGACAATAAAAATGTCAGCTGCTGCAGGTTGCAATGAGGACCCGTTTCCACCACCCCCATCTCCCTTCCTCCTTCTTTCTTCTTTCAAAGCAAATAGATAAGTGATGTGGAGGAGTTGGGTTGAAGGGATAGAATGGCTGCAAAATGCCAGTTCGTACTGATTTCTGCTGGGCTAGCAGTGAGAGGGCTTAAGGCAGAATCCTTTTCCTCTCAGCAGCAGCTCCAAAGTCACAGTGTGTTTGTCTCTTGCCGCAGTTCACTAGATGTGATTTTGGGGCAGCTTCCTTCCCAGGAGGGATGGCTCAAAAACACAGTCTCTTCTAGTGGCATCTACCTTGGAGTCAACTCCAGCTGCTCTTCATAAGTGCTCTGACACAGTCCACCTCCTTGGATCTGCTGGTGGGTGTCTTCTGTGAATGCTCCTTGCACATTTAGGCCAAAATGTGCTGTCTTGGTAAAGGCTTTAACACGTGTTACAGTGGGAACAGCTCATTTTTCAATGTACACTAAGGTGTGCATACACACAAAGCTCATCTGGCCAAACTTTGTGTGCTCGTCATCAGCAGCAGGGAGAGAGCCATAAAGGGCTGGGATTGAGGTGGAGATGACATGGTACAGAGGGACATGGCAGCATGAACTTGTCAGAGAGGTTGCCTTCAACCTTCTGAATTTATGGAAGAGTAGAGGAAAGCTTTATATCCACCTCCCACTCCTCAAGACCATCTTGTGTTAGCCCCCCTGCCCAGCTGAGCAACGCTGAACCTGTGACTCTACATGCGTTTGTATTACTTAAAGAGAAACTGAAGTATTGTCTCAGACTTCTTTTAGCATCCAGTTATCCTTCACTCAGCAAGCCTGTGTTCTATGTAGTTTGTGCTGTGGGGCAGAAGGTGTTTCAAGAAAGGCTAAGTGCAGTTGTGAGTTCCAGAAGTGACTAGCTTGTGTCCCTGTGCATATCCAACATGCTTGGAGCCCCAGAGAGGTGCCTATGATCCAGAGGTCCCCCTTTTTGTCTGAATACATTGTTCCTATCTGAATGGCATCCATCTTGCCTGGGGCAAGTCAAGATTTGCACATGCTGAAGATGGTGCACTCTTTTCCTTGGAGGTCATGTGTCGTGGTTCAGAGCTAGCTGGCTGGGAATCCTAGCAGGGAGCAGGGGTACCCTCAGAGGGACTGAGCATGCAGCCTCTGCTGCATCTTCTCTGGATACTCAGAGATCCTGGCTCCCTGAACCTAACTTAGTTGTCATGGTGGTGTTAACAATAGTGCTCATTATATTAATTTGTATGAATCCATTCTGAATAGGATCTTGCATGTGTTAATCCACAGCTCCTGAGTAGTTTTCCTTTTGCACCCTCTCATCAGCTCCTGGGAAAGCTAGCTGTATGGAGAGTGCGTTGTTTTACTACTGCAAAAAGGAAAAGCTTAAGAAAATGTAAATAAATGTATTGACAAGTAAGACAAATAAATGTTCCTCTTGCCTGCACTATATAGAGGTGTTTGACATACCAAATTATGACATAACTGTAGGAGTAATGGTTGCAGCTGTTGCCTTTGTAAAATGATCTGCAATACCACATGCTAATAAGTAAGACAACATGTCTAAGTCATTTTATACGGTGCCAGAAGACTAATCCCATGCCACGCATGCACAGTGCCAAAAGTGGTCATATCACAGCAGTAGGATCAGTCCTGGAATAATCACATCCTTATGAAAAAATCCTCTGTGTAATACAATGAAATCCCACTTAAACAAGTCAACCTTGTGAATCTATTAGAGCAACATCCCCAGAGTACTGCTACTGTAGCATGCTTCTAGCACAAAGTGGAACACTCATGTGTAAAAATGAAGACAGGAGCAGAATATTTATTCAGGTGAAAATGGGCTTCTTTGGGGAATCCTAATGGGGAGAGAGGCAGAGGAGCTGCAGTTGCCATGAGGTGGATAGCTAAAGCTTAAAGAACTGTGGTATGCAACCAACCTGTCAGCCCAGTTCTGCACCCTTGATCCACACAGAGCTCCCCTTGTCTTCTCCAGGAATCTCCTTTGAGCTAACATGGGGGATCATCCCCTAATCTAAAGAAGTTCAAGCCCTTGCTGCATTTTACAATTCATACATTCATCCTGAATAGGAACAGGATGTCAGAAAGGCCTGAGACAACTTTGCAAATCCCATCTTTTAGACCTACAAAACCTGGATTATTTTTTCCCCTGTATTAGCTCTAAACACCACCTTTGAAAAAAAAATGCTTTTGACAACTTGCTTCTACGTATCACTACAAGTATAGATCTGAGAAATACCTGAAAGCTGCCTATTTATTGGATAATGAGACCAGGCTAGCTAATTCAGCTGTGCAACACAGACAGATGTGATTTCCCTAATACCTGGGGCTTAATAATTGCAGTAAGTTAGGGCACATCTAAGCTTCCAAATCACAGCAGGTTTTTGTATACCCAACACAAAGAATTATCCAAGTGTATTCCTTGCTTTTCTTCCACATAATGGTATTTATTACATCAGTTTTCTGTCATAAAGCACAGGAGGAAGTTTATAAATAAGCATGTTGGTCAGACATCCTCAGAGTCTCTTAAAGAGCTGCTTGAGCTTTCCACTTCCAAGGAAAGCTGGGGGATTTGAATAGGCTGGAGCCAAAGCATTCGTGGGACTCCTCTGCTTTCCTGGCAAGGAGAAAACATGACCTTGTATAGTTTCCTAGGCACAGATAAGCATGCATCCACCAACACTTGGAAACATCCTCTACTGGTAGCTGCTGCCAGCCCGTTGCTTGGCAGTTGGTGGTTTGTTGTTCAGCCTTGGGACAGTGGCAGTGGGAGAAGATACTGCCATCAAAAGACAGCTGTACTCTTCTCTCACTCCAATCCAGTTTCAGGCAGGGCAATGAACATCTCTGAAGCAGGAACCTTAGCAGGTATGGACATTTTTCTTGCTTTGAGAAGTACAGGCTCTGTATCTATGGTCTGTCTGCAGGGGTTTGATGCTGAATTCATCCCAGTTCAGTGAACAGTTGAAGGGCAAACACAGATTCTCTTTTTTTTCCCCCAGTACACTTACTGATCACAAGAACCTGCCAGCCTGTCCTAATAGGGGTACATAGGGTATGAAGATGGGTGAGGCAGGTTTCCAAGGAAAGCAGCACAAAAGGCAAATGCATTCCCACAGAGCTTCAGCACATGCTGTTTCCAGACAGGGTTTGGTAACATGCTCTGAAGTAACAGGTAATTTAGGATGAGAGGTTTAGGAAAGTTTCCTATGTAAGCAGAGATGACATCTTTGCCCACTGGTTTGCACAAATTCTTTTTTGCCTAAGCAGCTCCTAAATCATCTATACAGCTGTACATAAAGTATGGTGGTGATTTCAGGCCTCTTGGTAGTTCTACTGAGAGATGACACTGCTATTCCAGAAATTCCCCATAACAGATGGCCTCCACAGACCAGCAGTCCTATAAATGCATTGGAAGTATGTTAATCGGTTTTGCATGCGGTAAATAAGAATTTTTTCAGGATGGAACATTTTGAGGCTTAGTCACTGAAAACAGCTTGAAATTATTTATTGGAGAAGATTTTTGTTTGGGGGCTAGGACAATGGCTGAGAAAGATGGGATCATTTTCAAAAGCGAATAGCTCTACCCATACAGATTTTCTTTCTTCCTATCCCTCTTTCCTTCATTACTCATTTTTCTGTCACTTTGTCTGTTGTGATTTACCATAGCTTTTCCCAAAGCAAGTTTCCTAAGAGAATGTCAGCTAATTAATTATTGTTTCAACACCATTTTTATTCCAGACCCTTGACCTCTTGGCAGCTCTGCAAAGCATTCTGATGCATTTCACGTTAGCTTAGTAAATATTTCTTTCAAACAGTAAATTGAGAAATAAAGA